TGATTAGTATCTGGCGAAAAGCTTCAGCAGATATTTCCTTTGCAACATCTCAACCAACAATTGGTCCAGTTATCAATGCTACTTTCAAGTTTTGAGCAACTCAAATTTCAAGATCTACATATCTACATGTGTTGATGTTTCCATTTATCAAAGTTATATTTTAAGATCTGTGCAAGAACACAGCTAACATATGTTTCCGCATATAAGAGCTATTCCAGTACATTACTTTACATTTCAGTGTCTGTTTTTATGTATTAAGCTAAATTGAAAGTGTTATATCATCCATAAAATCTTAGCATCATTTGATATAAAAATGTATTAAAAGTATTGGATGTTATTAAAGCTGAGTCATGCATCTGAAGCTTGACGTCATGAAAATTTTTTTAAATATCAATTTTATTTAGTCACAGTATATATATATATATATATAATAATGGCTATTAATTATGTTGTAATTACTGACTCTAATGATATTTTTATTGGAAGACCTCCTTTTGGCCCACGGGGTTCTCCTCCAAGGTTTCGTGGACCACCACCTATGAACCGAGGCCCTCCACCACATGGAAGAGGAGGACCACGGCGACCACCACCTCCAGGTTTTAGAGGGCCACCTCCACATCCACATCACTTTGATCCAAATTTTCCAAGACATATGCCACCACCACCTGCTGGAATGCCTCCACCTCCAGGAGGAATGCCACACCCTCCTGGAATGCCACCACCACCAGGAGGAGGACCTCCTGGAATGGTAAGTTAGAATCAAATTTTTTTTCCTTTTGTTTAAAACAATACCTTTTAACCATCACAGTATTGGCAGGTCAAAGAGTGTATGCCATGATTTTTTAGAGTTACATGTCATGTAGACTTACATAAAATTTTTTATTAAGCTACTAGTATATGAATGTATTTTGGCATCAAATTGTAGTTTATAATTCAAATTTTAGTATTATACCTTATTTAATTTCTTGATTTAAAACCAAATATTGAAAACAAATTGCTAAAACAATATGCCTTTCTTTTTTTGGTATTGGTACCTTTATGTATTTTTATTGCACTTTTAATGTTAAGGAAACAAATAGAAGCATAATTTCCTACTCTTTATTACAAAAGAAATTTTATTTCACTCATCCAATGGATGGATACTCCAATAACATGAAATAATATCAAAAATACTTTTTTTCCCTAAAATGAGTGCAGCTTCTAACAAGCATTTACATTTATTTATCCTCAACAGTTTCACATATGCTTTCATTTGATTTTATTGTTTTATTGCTCTTTGAACCATTTCTAACCAGCATAACAAATCAACAAATCACCAGTAGCTTAGGGTAAAAGGAGACAGTAGGCAGCTTGTATTTTTTACTTAAGTTTTCTTAATTAACCTGAAAAGTTACCAATTCTTACATTTTACTTGCTTTAATAAATAAATAAAAAATATACAAAAAACTTTAAAAATTTAGCATTTACTTTAGCCTTGAGGCATTTGGGTTTGTGGTTTAGTAAGCCTGTTTTTTTTTCTCACTATGTTCCTTCTCCATAAATAACTTGTATAGTATTCAAATATGTATTTTGGTACACAAAAACATATTGGGCGCTAGAGCAGAATGTCCAAGATCTATTATAATTTATCTGGCTATGTAACTAACCTATAAATTGGTTGAAAGATTCCATTACTGCTTGGAAGAATGTCTAAGCCATTAAGTTCACCCTGAAAAACAATAGCTTTGATTGGTAGAACAAAACAATCATATCAATGTTCTTATTTATGTTTTATTTATTTATTATACACTTTCAGTTGGTTATAAACATATCCAACAGCAATTTCAGAGAGAATTGTAGACATTTCCTTAACCTGTTACCTACCATGGCCATTTTATCTTATTGTGAGGGCAAAATCACATTTGTGAATTGAAAAAATTATAGAGAACTTGTCTTTTATTAGATTTCAGATTTTATTTTTGTAAATAGTAGCATAACATTCAATTATTTGACAAAATTGTATTCATTAATGAAGTTTAAAAGGAATATAATGAAAAAAAATCCTAAAATATGTTTTAGACTGTAAATAAGCACCCTCTAAGAAAAAAATTGTTTTTCAAAATATTTAAAAATTTTTTCCTTCCACTTCAGCACTGGTCCTATCATCTATGATTGGTATCTAAACCTTTTTCTAGTCTGTTTTTTTTATAAAACAGCTTCTGGGCATGTTAAACCTCAGTTGTAAAAACTTTTAGCCAATCCTAGTTGAAGGTGTCAATTTTAGTACCATGTTATTCCAATCGCTGTATTTCACATTTGACAAATCGTAGGATGATAAGGAAAGCACATGATGAAACATTGTTCCCTGGATTTTACAATATGAATGTGGGTGGTGCTTATTATAGTAACTGCCATTCTATGTAGAGGTATTTAGTATTGGCCAATAGTGCTTTTCTATAAGCATTAGAAAACTTGCTTCTAGAAAATACTGCATGGGATGTACATGACTTTTATTATTTTTATATAGTAGCTTAGGTCATGCTGCATCGTATATCTATTTATATTAATCATTATATTGAAAAATTAACTCAAAATAGATATATTTTTTAGGAAAGAAGTTGATCCACGATTGTTATGGTTAAGAGCTATCGAGTGGCGAGTGCAAAGTCTTTACATGAATTAGGCTTAGCACTTTTGAACTGAAAGAGTTTGTGATTTTTTATATTTGTTTGCATTTAAATTTGTAGTTTTAAGTTCAATAATTTAGTGTAATTTTATATTTAGTTCATAATAATAATAATAATATGATTCAGTATTTAGAATGATAAACTTGTGTGATTTATATGTAATACTACTAGTACCAGTACCACATAAGAATTTTATATTTTTCCTTCTTACAATCTTTACTTTATAGTAAAACCCACACTTCTTCTTGTTATTTGCTTTAGAATTAAAACAGTTTAACAGATATATAAAGTTTAATCTGATATTTTGCAAATGTTTTAAAACTCAGTGTACAAGTGACAACAATAAAACCCATATGTTGGTTGTGAAACAGACTAAATACATTTGTCTCAATAATACAGGGAAGCTATGACATTCTTACAGTTGGGGTCTCAATACATTGAAGAGCTTAAGTTTCGCATTCCAACATAAATCTTGCCTATAATGAGAGGAATTTGACCAGGACTAATCTTTTAAGTGCTGTAAAGTAATTTTCTTTGTAATTTATGGTGTCTGTATTGTTTGGTAATCTCTTCTAACAGGATGTATCAAGTAACTAGGGTTAGGCAGTGTTATTGAAACCACCTGTACTGTAAACTGTTACATACATTCGCTAGTAGTGGCAATTAGTTTTGTCTGTATAGTGAAACAACATACACAGACATATGTTGAAATAAACTTGTTTGAAAGTTCAAAGAAATGATATTCAAATACTGAAAAGCTTTCTTACTATCATATCTACAGTATTGTTGAAATGCGGCTGCGCTGGACTGAACGAGAGTGACCACCAACAGGCATGATATTTTATGGCAAATGTACAAAGTTCACGCTGCTAGCCTCATGATTTATTCAGCACAGTAAACAAAAGTATTGCTGTCATGAAAATAAACATAAATTTCAAATAAATATACATTTATGAAACAAAATTAAAATGTTATGTACATATATAAACATGAAATCATAGTTAAAAATAAAAATACTCATTTATTGTTTAAGTTTATTTACAAATATTATTTTCAGTTTTTGTATATTACTTGAAACCATAAGGAGAGTACGTGATTATTGAAAAAATTAAAAATAGATAAAATTTGCATTTTATGGA